GGGGGTGCAGGTGTGGGGTGTTTGGGGCTGCCGGTGTGGGGTGTTTGGGGGTGCAAGTGTGGGGTGTTTGGGGCTGCAGGTGTGGGGTCTTTGGGGCTGCAGGTGTGGGGTCTTTGTGCCATGGGACCGAACCCCGTCCCTGCACCCCAGTTTGGGTTCTGCCAGGTGTGGGGTTCAAGGTGTGTCGGGGCACAGGTTTGGGGTGCGATGGATCCCTTCCCCATCCCCATCCCCCGTGGGCTGGGGGTGACGATGCCGTTTTTGGGGGTGACGATGCCGTTTTTGGGGGTGGCGATGCCGTTTTTGGTGGTGACGTTGCCGTTTTTGGTGGTGACGATGCCGTTTTTGGGGGTGGCGATGCCGTTTTTGGGGGTGATGGCGCCGTTTGGGGGGCTGACGGTGCCGTTTTGGGGTTGACAATGCCGTTTTTGGAGGTGATGGTGCCATTTGTGGGGGTGATGGTGCCATTTGTGGAGGTGGCGATGCCGTTTTTGGGGGTGGCGATGCCGTTTTTGGGGGTGGCAATGCCGTTTTTGGGGGTGACCATGCCGTTTTTGGGGGTGGCGATGCCGTTTTTGGGGGTTACGATGCCATTTTCGGGGGTGATGATGCCGTTTTGGGGATGACAACGCCGTTTTTGGGGGTGACAATGCCATTTTCGGGGGTGAAGATGCCATTTTTGGGGCTGACGGTGCCGTTTTCGGGGGTGGCAATGCTGTTTTTGGGGGTGTCAGCGCCGTTTCGGGGGCTGACGGTGCCGTTCTGTCCCCAGCTCTCCTCGTGGCCGTCAGGATCAACGGCAACGGCCGGGAGGTTCTGTACCTGGCCAAGGGCGACTCGGTCAAACTGGGCTGTCCCTATGTCCTGGAGCCCGAGGACAACGGTCCCCAGGGCGTGGGCATCGAGTGGATCCAGATCTCGCCCGAGAGACCCAGCCCCGAGAATGTGGTGAGGGGTCGGGGGGCTGGGGAGGGGTCGGGGGGCTGGGGAGGGCAAGGATGGAGCAGGTGGGGCTCAGCCAAGTGCGTGGGACAGGCGGGACAGGAGAGGTCTGGGAGGACAAACCGAGTCTGGAAGTGCTGAGATGGGAAGGATGAAGTGGGACAGGAAGGTTGGGAAGGACAGGAAAGGTCTGGTGGGACAGGCAGGGTTTGGAAACCCATCAGGACAGGAAGGTTGGGAAGGACAGGAAAGGTCTAGAAGGTCAAGCAGAGTCTGGAAGTGCTGAGATGGGAAGGATGAAGTGGGACAGGAAGGACAGGAAAGGTCTGGAGAGGCAGGAAAGGTCTGGAAGGACAGAGAAAGACCTGGTGGGACAGGCAGGGTTTGGAAACCCATCAGGACACACAGGACAGGGAAGGTCTGGAAGGTCTGGAAGGACAAGCAGAGGCTGGAAGTGCTGAGATGGGAAGGATGAAGTGGGACAGGAAGGACAGGAGAGATCTGGGAGGGCAGGAAAGGTCTGGAAGGACAGAAAGACCTGGTGGGACAGGCAGGGTTTGGAAAGCCAGCAGGACAGGAAGGTTGGGAAGGGCTGGGAAGGTCTGGAAGGACAAGCAGGGTCTGGAAGTGCTGAGATGGGAAGGATGAAGTGGGACAGGAAGGACAGGAAAGGACTGGACAGGGTCTGGAAATGCTGGACAGGAAGGAACAGACAGGACAGGGAAGGTCTGGAAGGGCAGGAAAATACCAGGAAAAGTCTGGAAATGCTGGGCTGGGAAACAGCAGGCAGGACAAACTGGGATGGGCTGGGATCAGAGGTCTGGGAGTGCCAGGATGGGACAGGGAAGGTCTGGGAGTGCCAGGATGGGACAGACAGGGACAGGCAGGGACAGGGAAGGTCTGAAAGGGCAGGAAAGATCTGGGAGTGCCAGGATGGGACAGGGAAGGTCTGGGAGTGCCAGGATGGGACAGGCAGGGATAGGGAAGGTCTGGCAGCATCTGGGAGTGCCAGGCTGGGCTGGGCTGGGCTGGGCGGGGCTGGAGCCCAGCCAGTGAGGCACAGACAGGCAGGACAGGTACAGACAGGTACAGGCAGGGAAAAACAGGGACAGGCAGGGAAAAACAAACAGGGACAGGCAGAACAGGTACAGACAGGTACTGACAGGTACAGGCAGGGAAAAACAGGGACAGGCAGGGCAAGAAAAGACCAGCCAGGCCAGAGGGACAGGCAGGGACAGAGAGGACAGGAAAGGATCAGGCAGGGACAGAAAAGAGACAAGGAGGAAGCACCAGGACAGACAGGACAGGGAAGGACAAACAGGCAGAAGCAGGAAAGGAACAGGCACAGCAGGAACAGGCAAACCCCCATTGCTGAGCCTCCCTCTGCCCTGAGAAACACAAACTGGGCCCAAACCCCAACCCAAAAGTACCTGAAATGAACCCAAAGCCAGCCTTTAACTGACCCTAAACCAAACCTAAACCCAGCCCATCCCAACTCCAACTAACCCTAACACAAGCTAACCCTCAGCAACCAACCCAAACCAACCCAAACCAAACCCAAACCAACCAACCTCAACCCAAACCAACCCCAAACCAACCCAAACCAAACCAACCCAAACCAAACCCAACCAACCAACCTCAACCCAAACCAACCCAAACCAAACCAAACTAAACCAAACCAACCCAAACCAAACCAAACCCAACCAACCAACCTCAACCCAAACCAACCCCAAACCAACCCAAACCAAACCCAAACCCAAACTAAACCAAACCCAAACTAAACCAACCTCAACCCAAACCAACCCCAAACCAACCCAAATCAAACCAACCCAAACCAACCCAAACCAAACCAACCCAAACCAAACCTAAACCAAACCAAACCCAACCCAACCAACCTCAACCCAAACCAACCCAAACCAACCCAAACCAACCTCAACCCAAACCAAACCAAACCAAACCAACCCAACCCAAACCAAACCAAACCCAAACCATCCTAAACCAAACCAAACCCAACCCAACCAACCTCAACCCAAACCAAACCCAACCCCAAACCAAACCAATCCAATCTCAACCCAAACCAAACCCAACCCAAACCAAACCAATCTCAACCCAAACCAAACCCAAACCAAACCAAACCCAAACCAAACCAAACCCAAACCAAACCCAACCCAACCCAAACCCAACCCAAACCAAACCAAACCCAACCAACCTCAACCCAAACCAAACCCAAACCAAACCAAACCCAAACCAACCAACCTCAACCCAAACCAACCCAAACCAACCCAAACCAACCCAAACCAACCCAAACCAAACCCAAACCAACCTCAACCCAAACCCAAACCCTAACCAAACCAACCCAAACCAAACCCAACCAACCCAAACCAAACCCAAACCAAACCCAAACCAAACCCAACCCAACCAACCCAACCCAAACCAAACCAAACCCAAACCAACCCAACCCAAACCAAACCCAAACCAAACCCAAACCAAACCCAACCCAAACCAAACCCAAACCAACCCAACCCAACCCAAACCAAACCAAACCCAAACCAAACCCAAACCAAACCCAACCCAACCAACCTCAACCCAAACCAAACCAAACTCTAACCCCAAACCAACTTTAACTCCCCCCTAAACCCAACCCAAACCCCCAAACCCCATCCCGCCGGCGTCCCCGAGGCCACCCTGACGTTGTCCCCGCGTGTCCCCAGTTCCTGTCCTACCAGGACCACCACGTGAACTACGGCAGCGGCTCGGGGCTGCAGGACCGCGTGGCCTTCGTGCAGACGGACCCGGGCCAGCGCGACGCCTCCATCCGCCTGGCCGACCTGCAGGAGAGCGACACCGGCACCTACCAGTGCCGCGTCAAGAAGAACACGGTGGCCGTGCATGAGGTCATTGTCACCGTGCAAGGTGAGGCCACCCCCGCGGCGTCGCCTGTCCCCTCCGTGCCGGTGACGCTTTGCTGTGGTCACGCTGCGTCTTCTGGTGGCACCTGGGTCCCTCTTGTGTGGCCCTGAGAGTGTCACTGCCGTGTCCCTTTCCTGATACTGAGCGTCCCCTGTGCCACTCTCATGTGGCCCTGGTGGCCCTGACAGTGTCACTGCCGTGTCCCCTTCCTGACACTGAGAGTGTCCCTTGTGCCACTCTCATGTGGCCCTGGTGCCACCTGGCCCCTCTCGTGTGGCTCTTGGTGGCCCTGAGAGTGTCACTGCTGTGTCCCCTTCCTGACACTGAGAGTGTCCCCTGTGCCACTCTCATGTGGCCCTTGGGGGCCCTGACAATGTCCCCTGTGCCACTCTCATGTGGCCCTTGGTGGCCCTGACAATGTCCCCTGTGCCCCTCTCATGTGGCCCTTGGTGGCCCTGACAATGTCCCCTGTCCCCCATCCAGGTGGCCCTGACAGTGTCCCGTGTCCCCCCGCCCCAGGTGACTCCTGTCTCTTCCCCCACTCCCAGGTGTCCCCTCTCCTGGGTGGCCCCTGGTGACCCCAATGGTCCCCTGGTGGCCCTGCCAGTGTCCCCTGTGCCCCTCTCATGTGTCCCCTGGTGGCCCTGGCAGTGTCCCCTGTGTCTCTCCTGGCTGTCCCCATCCCCCTGTCTCCATCCAGAGTGGCTCTGGCATTGTCCCTGTCCCCTTCCCGTGTGTCCCCTGTCCCTGGCAGTGTCCCCAAACCCCTCCCGCGTGTCCCCTGTCCCCTCTGCTGTCCCTGGCAGTGTCCCCATCCCCTTCCCGCGTATCCCCTGTCCCCCCGGCTGTCCCCGCTGCTGTCCCGGTGTCCCCGGCGGTATCGCCTGACGCTGTCCCGGTGTCCCCGGTGTCCCAGTGTCCCCGGGGTGCAGCCTGACGCTGTCCCGGTGTCCCCGGTGTCCCAGTGTCCCCGGGGTGTAGCCTGACGCTGTCCCGGTGTCCCCGGCTGTCCCCGCCGTTGTCCCGGTGTCCCCGGCGGTGTCGCCTAACGGTGTCCCCGCTGTCCCGGTGTCCCCGGGGTGTCACCTGACGCTATCCCCGCTGTCCCGGTGTCCCTGGCGGTGTCCCCGCCGCTGTCCCGGTGTCGCCTGACGCTGTCCCGGTGTCCCAGCAGAGAAGCCGGCGGCCCCGCAGTGCTGGAGCGAGGGGGAGCTGATCGAGGGGGGCTCGGTGCTGCTGCGCTGCTTCAGCCGGGGGGGCACCGCGCCCCTCTCCTACCAGTGGGCAAAGCTGGCCGAGGGCTACGGCGGGGGGCGCCTGCCCTCGGGCACCCTGCAAGGTGGGTGAGAGACCCCCGGGGGCTTTGGGGAGGGGTCCCTGCCCTCGGGCACCCTGCAAGGTGGGTGAGACCCCCGGGGGGTTTGGAGAGGGGATGTGGGGGGCTCAGGAGGGGATTTGGGGAGTCCCTGTCCTCGGGCACCCTGCAAGGTGGGTGAGAGACCCCCGGGGGGTTTGGAGAGGGGATTTGGGGGGCTCAGGAGGGGATTTGGGGAGTCCCTGTCCTCGGGCACCCTGCAAGGTGGGTGAGGGAACACCCCGGGGGGCTCAGGAGGGGATTTGGGGGGTTCAGGGGGGATTTGGGGGGTCCCTCGGGCACCCTGCAAGGTGGGTGAGACCCCCGGAAGGGTTCGGGGGGGGTTTGGGGACAGCAGCCAAGGGGTGCTGTGGCCATGGGGTGCTGTGGCCATGGGGGGCTCGGGGGGGTCCCTGGCTGGGGGTGCACGTGGTGGGGAGGGGGCGCAGTGTGTCCATGTGTCCATGTGTCCATGCGTCCATGTGTCCATGTGTCCGTGTGTCCATGTGTCCATGCGTCCATGTGTCCGTGTGTCC